TGTCGTGGATGTCTGACAAGGACACAGAAAGGAAAGTACCCGGGGAAGCTGCCTTAGCACCTTAATGCTTCTCTGGGTCTCAGACTTCCCAGGTAGCACGGACAGTCTCATGGAAGCTGAGCTCAGCGTTACTCAGAGAATTCGGTATGAGCTCCAGTAACCTGCTCCTTCCTGTGCACCTGGAATTGCTAACTGGGGATGCCCTGAGGGAGGAAGGCTTTGAGATGGTGTGAGTAGATGTGGAGTATATTAGAACATGGAGGTGAGAAGAAAGGCAAAATAGACAGAAAAACGCAAACAAGAGTAGAGGAGGTCCTAGTCTGTAAGCGAAGGATGTTACGAAGTGCACTTTAAACAATAGATGACGCTAACGCAGAGGGCTTTGAAGGCTGTCATCACAAATGCTTCTTCACCTCCTTAATAAAGTGGAACTACAGAAGGTTTATTTAATTTTTCCACACTATAGCCAGGTTTTACATAGATAAATAATTCTCTGTGTTCTTTAGTCACTAGAAAACTTTTCCTGAATTGGGCATCTGTTCCAATAAAAAAATATGAAACTATCTATCTATTTGACCTTTTGCCACTTTCTTTCTTCTGAGATGCTTTTTCAATTAATGTTCAATTCATTGTAAACTTGATAAAAAAAAAGATGAAGCAGTGTCCCTCCATATAGACAGTTACAGCTGAGAGTTACACAAGTTAATGTGGTAGATTTCCACTTTCCATTCTTGGGCTTTAGGGGGCTTCGAAGGAGTGAGAAAAAAGTCAAATAGAAAATAATTTTTTAAAAATTGTCAAGGTTTTCCAAGTAGAAATTGAAAAAGTATTTTTTATTAAAGAAAGGCTTGATCCTTTTTCATATGTAAGGAGGTTTTCAGAAAGATTGATCTACTTGTTGGATTTATCAGATAGAAGGACTATGTGGTTAATATATTCAGCTTTTATATTCGGAAAAATGAGAGGATTAAATAGAACAGGGCAGTAGTTTGAAATTATATTTGAATGATGTGTTCAACCTTGAATTGTATAGAACACTATCACTAGAAACATCTTTGTTAGGACTAGAGAAATGAGGCTGGGAAGAAAGGATACTTCTCAAAACAACAATTTATTTAATTGTAAAAATGTTCTCCTTTGTCATTAAGCTACTTGGGAAAAGTCAATTATAGATTCATTTAATAATTACCTTTTTAAAAACATTCTGGTTGAATAATTTTTTAAGTAACTGCTGATTATTCACAGCAGTGTCCTGCAACAAACCACAGAGAGTCTTTTTTTTTTTAATCAAATAATAAATGAAATAAGAACATGAATTATAAAGAGTCTTGTTATATTTGCATCTGCCAAAAATAAACAATTTAGGATAAATATTGTCCTTTAATCTATTTACACATATTTATAGGTGCCTGAAATGAGTAAGCGCTCAGCTGAAAACATTATATCTAAATGTGTCACACTTGACACACTGATAGGATGTGATAGGAACATAAGCAAATACGAGGCTTTGTTTTCCTCATTTTCTGCAGTGGATTATTTTCTGCTATTCATTTGGCAGAGGCCTATAATAAACTTGTATTTTTTGGCTTCCCTTCAGTTCAAAACTGGAAATAGTGATTGCTTCAGAGCCACTTAAAGGGATCTTCCTTAGAAAAATCATTCTCTTGCCATTTTGCAAAATTATGTCCGAGAAATGAAATGATTCTCAACATGACTGGATATGCGAGGAAATTTCTACTATTTTAAGCTAAGCAACATCGAGTTCAGTTTGTGCTCAGCGTAAGGGCAAAACTAAAGACGCTGTGGTTGGTAGAAATCAACCAGCATGCTGTATATTATCAGGTGATATCTATGGAATGGCTTTTTGATAACTGATTTCATGTGCATAATAATTTTTAAAAACTTTTTTTAACCAAATGTAGGGTGTATTTACAATCTGAGATATGCTGTATTAATAATTGTCAATACAAACTTTTTTTCCCTGAAAATGTGTAATGAGAAATGGTACCTTAATGTCTATGTCGTTTTCTCTTCTTTGGTTCTGTATCAACGAAACCAATGAGCTTCCCAGAGTAGAGACTTCTTAGCTTACCAGGATGGAGCTTTGAAGAAAGAAGGAAGCCTGAAGAAAAAGTGCTAATTGCAGGGGGATGACATCAAAGATGTGAACTATTGGGCAAGTTCAAGTTGTATACTTCCAAAGCCAAGATGAAAGAATAGGATAAGGACCCACAGTTTCCAAATTCTTCTCCAAGTTCATCTCCCAGGGCTGATTGCATATTTTTGTTACGTTTGCTAATATTTTTAATAATAGCAACAGCTTGATGAGTGTTGCTATGTTTTAGTCACCCAATTTCTGATGCTCACAACATTCTATGTTAAGTTGAATTGAAATGCTTCCTGTATTTTCACCCAGAGTTGCTTCTTCTTCTAGAGGCTCTATTTTCTTTCATTAAGCTGTAGGTCAATTCTTAATGCCATACAGTTCAAATTACTGTGGGTTTATAATATGTTTAATTTTCAGTGAACATAGGCTGCACTACACTCTCTCTTTCTTCATAGAACCCCTTTCACTCACCTGCTTGTTCCAAAGCCTGGTACCCAAAGTGTGACACAGCTACTTACATTCACAATAAGCCACTATGATAATACAGTCCCACTCAGATCACTTCCATTGGAGTGCTGTAAGGAAGCCACAGCTTCCCTAACCATCTGTACGTTTTCCCTTCATCATTTCTTAGACCCGGTCTAATGAGAATGCCTTTTCATTCCTGTTCCTTCTCCCATACTTCCCAGCTCAGGATGAGAGTGTCTTGTTCCAGTAGATGTGAGTCATTAACTGGAAGAATAAAAATTCAATAGGGAACAAGAAATGGCCAGAAAAGGGGTGGTGAGCAGAATTATTTTGTCCAAATAATAGGAAAGCAGACTTGAAAAAAAATTAAAGCAGACTAAGTTTCCTGTCTGAATGAATGCCATGACTATGGTCTTCATGCTCAATAATTATCAGAAGGAATAATGTCAGATAAATCCTGAAATCTCCTCTTTCATGCATAAATAAAAATCTTTGCTCTCATTTAAATACAATAACTAGTAGGTACTCATGAAAACCAGACAGACACACTTTTCTCTCATTTATCATACACATCTATTTTTGTTTCTTCCTAAGCAGCATTTTCTTATGAAGCCACATTAGTTGTTGACATAGTTTATATAGCATTTCCTCATAGGAAGAAGTTACTTGAAATTTTGCTGGTTATCTGCCCCAGGTCTGTTTAAAGCATTACCATACTTGTACCTGTAGGCAGTTTTCCTGCCTAATGTATTTTATTCAAAACAGTGATTTCTAAAAATGCATTTGCACATCACAATTCTCTAGGGAGTTTGCTGAAAGCTGGACAAAGAGTTCTGTAAATCTAGTGAGTCAGAATCCCTGGGTTGGGAACTGTAGGCTGCATTTTTACCTTACTGGGCAAGTTTACCTCCCTGAATTTGGAAAGTACTGTTTTGAAAATTTTCTTGATATGCATGCACTGAACATCTTGGGTGAACAGATCTCAAACCTGGCTGTTATCGAAATCACCTTGAGAGCATTTAAACACTTGTGGGCACAGGTTCCATCCGTAAAAATGTAATTATGTGAATGTTAAGATGGGCAGTCAGAATCCCTATTTTACAAAGCACCTCGGATAATTCTTCTCAGAGCCACACTTGGGAATGACCTTCTGAAAACACATTCATAGCGGTCTCATCTTTAGTATTCTGCAGTTTTGGGAAAATTTGAACTTAGCAATCATCTGAATTTTTTTTTTTTTTAGTATACCGGAGTTCATGAAAATATTTGACTTCTTAAATGCCTAAACATGGAACAAACTTTAATATTTACAATATCCTTAAAAATGAAGTTATTATACTCTTGTGTTAAAAAATGTGCTGAATTTCTACCAAGATACTCTGTAAATTTTGTAAATTACTCATATGTTTATATATACAAATACAAATGAAATCTCATGTGGCTCCCCCTCCTTAGTTACCATATTATCCTATTCAAGCCCTTGTGAAACATTCAATTTTTAAAATTTGTTTATTATGTCTTCTGTTACTAGAATGTTAACTCCGATAAGAACTCTCTATGCTGTGTTCCCCACTGAACTTCTAGCAGCTAGAATAGTGGAAGGTACATAATAGGTGTTCAGCTCATATCCGCTGAATGGTAGATAGGGTATTATGTCCGTATATGCTGTTTATGTACAGATTGTATATGTAAGCCATATATCCACATACGAGATTGGCATTTACCACAATCATGTGTGTATGTGTAGTATCTTAGATGCTAATCAAAGTGCATTTTATTGGTTGTGCAAATTCTCTTGTATTCATAGTTAGAGCAATCTCTTCTAAATCCCAAATGCAAAGAGAGTCTGGTAGTTACGAATAGATAGCCTCATCCCTTTCATTTGAAATGGACCCGGAGGCCTTCCTGGATTTGGATATCCCATTGGTATTTCTTTTCAAGAGGGGTCACGCCACTGCTCAGGTGCTGTGAGTCATTGTCACCTGATGGATGTGGAAAGCAGCTGAATCATACTGGAATCACGTTGCCTCACGAGGGATGTGTCAGCTAGTTAGTCTTCAGCCACATGATGAAAAGTGTAGTTAATGATACTGTTACATTGTCACACTGAAAAACTTCAGAACGAAGTGGCTAAAAATATTTTCTTACCGTGTAAGGGAGTGAGGACATGGAATGCTTACCTTTAAAGCTGTTTTTGAAGGATGAGGCTGTTCTGATTGCTTTTCTCTCTGGGTAATACCCTTCTCAAGGGAAGAGTGCACCTCACAGGCGTTCACCATGGCCGTTCCTTGGATGCTCAGCCAGGTTGTAACGCCAAGTTTGCTGCCTGGGAGGCTGACTGGTGGGTGTATGGCACACTCAGCATTTTGATCTTCTATGCATTCATTCCTCAGCAATGTTCACTCTCGTATTCTTTGTATTCCAGGGACTGTGCACCCTCTAGAAAGCAAGGGAGAATAATGATGATGGATTCACTACAGTGTTCTCTGGGCTGTGATACTGGTATACACACGGACTGCTCTGGAAATACAAACAAGGACATCTACAGGCTGGTGGCACCAAGGATGCCTACCTGGAGTAGGAGGTAATTGTGCTGAGTCTTGAGGATGAGCTGGATTTATCCATTCCACAAATATTTATGGAGTGACTTTTATGGAGCTAGGCTATACTCTGGAAACACTGAGGGGGAGCAAGACAGACATGAACACTGCCATCAGGAACTCACGGCCTGAGGGGTGGGGGTTGCGGGCAGGCATAAAACAAATCATCTCCGAGTGAAAATATGTGGTAAGTGAGGAAAAGTCAACAGGCTGTAAGAGAGCATCGTAGATGGACCAACATTTTGATAAATTGCTCAGGGAAAACCTCTCTTAGAGAAAATGGTATTTGAGATGACACCTGAAGTGGGATACAAGTTATCTTTTAAACAAAGACAAGGAGAAAAGTGCACCAGAAAGCAAAAGCAGAAGCCCCTTTATTTTATGCAAAGAACTTTTCTCTAAAAACAGCCAACAAATCCCGAAATGAACAACAACAACGAAAAGTTTTTAAATCATTGCCTTCACTGAATATTTTATTAGTTGAGAATTTCAGAACACCATGAATAGTTACAAAAAATAGTTGGAGACTAAATTTTTTTTACCTCTTTATGTTGACAGATGTTAATTAGACTTTATTGTGGTGATCATTTTGCAACATATACAAATGTCAAATCATTGGGTCTTATACCTGAAATGAATGTAATGTTACATGTCTATTATACCTCAATTAAAAAAAGATTTAAAAAACTTCAAAACACAACCAACAGTGATGGTTTGGAAACTGTTAGGAAAGGAGCCTGAAATTGCTTTTTTTTCTCTCATTTTGATTTCTTTCTTTTTTAAAAAATTATTTCTTAAAAGAGAATAGAAGATATTTTAGAGATAGTCATCAGATTGTTGTTTGAACTTAAATTTGTTGTTTTTAATTTATATAGTTACTCTTGATGTCATGGTTCGATTGCTGTTGGGTTTTTTGAATTTTCAAATGTCAACTTATACTTGGCTCTGTGCAGCTATAGAACACTGTAAAATAGACAAAGACCCAATGTGGAGTTACTGCCTTTCTAAGTTTTCACTCTCCAGCAAACTTTCCTATTTATTGCCCTCCAGCCATAATAACTCACTCTTGTCAGATTGTATTCCTCTCTGCCCATCTCCACTTTCAGTACATTTCTCATTGAATATTGGTTATGCTGCAATATAGCACATTCGTGAGATCTGGGCTTCTGGTCTCCACTGATGCAAATGCTTTCTCATGTGCCATGGGGCAGAGGCTTTCATTTGGTTTGAATCTCACAGGGCAACGGGTACGTCAAAGTCTCTGGACCTTTACTCCAAGGCTTCTTTCAGGAACTGACATTTAAATGGGGAATTAATGAAGTTGATCATGCAACAAGAATGCGAAAGAGCACCCCGAGTGAATAAGGGCGAGGTAGGGAGTCCAGGCAGTGAGAACTGGCCTGTGCAAAGACTCAGAGAAGCAAGACATTGTAATTCATTCTAGGAACTACTCTTAGTTGTGAGCTACAATGCAGAGCTTAAAGACGAAGAGAAAACTACCAGCACTTAGAGACATTGTTTGAACCTCTGGGCAAAGTCCTACCCCAAGCTATGTCTTTCCGTTACAGGAGCTACATAAAGTAAGCTTTACCTAAAGTCAGCTTGAGTGGGATGTCCGTTGTTGCAATGAAAGCATCCTGAATAATGTAAAGTTTAATGGGAGCTTTTCTTGGTCTGAATCTAAACCATCAGCCTTTTCTAGGGCTTCTCAGGTTAATTTCAACAGCATGTCAAGGTAGCTTTAGTCTTAATGAACCAAGCTGAGAATTTTTCATTATGTTTGACTTAACCATTTTTTCTTGGTTATAACAGGAAAATACTCCCATTTTATCAGCTTCCTATTTTTTTTTTAATCTGGAACTTACAGTACCTCAGAATAAATGCATATGCTATATTGAAGTTTTATGTTTATCCCCAAATCATTGTTAAAAAATTCTTTACCGGGAAAAAAGTTTTATTTCAGTTTCTATGCTGTCCTGCAATAGATATTTTATATTTAGCATTATCTTTTTTTGGTTATTCTCTAAACATTGTTATGTCCTTCAACTGATATTCCAGAATGTTAAGCAATTTTTGCATCTTTCTAAAGCCGTTGGAGATTTAACACCCTTAAATGATTGCCTAGAGCCTACATAATCTCCCATAAATCTTCCAGGTTATTTGATCTGCCATTTCAAATAGTTTCATCAGCAATTCTTTTTGTACTTTATTGATCTGATAAACTAGCCGAAACAGAAATGGAGGTCCTAATATAATCACAGTGAGGAGGTTTAGTGAAGCAGAGCCTATCCTGGCAGTTAACAGACAGATCTAAAGAGATGAAACAAAAAAGCTGCTGAATTATATTTGTAATTTAAAATGAAACAAACCAATGCTTCTGTATATTCACAATCCAGTCCAGGTACAGGGTCCATCTTACTGCCCTTAATTCGACAATCAGTTTGAGATACAAAGGAGAATCCTAAACCCAAATGTTATGAGAAGTTTTTAGAGTATAGTAGAGCTGGGAAGTCTGAGGTAATGAGACTTGCTTTGCATACAAGGCTTGTAGAATGGGGTGAGGAAAGGGGGAGCTCTGACACAAGGACCACCCTGTGAAAAACCTAATTCCTTGTTTCTTACAGGGACATTTGGGCAAATGGCCAAGTCAACAGGCCAAAGTCAGGCTTTAAAAATGACAAAGCAAGTTGATGGGGGAGAATGTGGGGAGGTGGAAAGCGGGCATAGAATATTTATCGAGAGCCTGAGGCTTCGCTGACAGTCAATTATAAATTGAATCTTGAATCCGCAGTTTAGTAGCTGAGTGATCTTGATCAAGGGACTTCACTTTGAACTTGGACAAGTCACTTTTGAGAGCCTCATTTTCCCCTTCCTGGCAAGTGGCTTAACTGTAGATGTCAGTTTCTTCATGTGTATACAGAATAACTGATGAAATTAACATTATTGAACTGTTGTGAAATGTGATGAGATGATGCCTGATATGTAATAAGAACTCAGCAAATGTTCAATATTATAACGACTTTGATTAAGATGGTGATAGCAAATTGTGATTCAGAATTCTGAGGGTTAAGGGAATTTGAAGAATGAGACCCTGTTACTCAGGGAAGAACTAGCACTTGCCTAATCGAATTAGACAAGGCTTGAGGGCAGGGTCTTGGTCCTAGAAAGGCATTGTGGTTCTCGAATAATTCTGCTGTCAGCAAAGTAGGGGTCATACAAAGATGCTAGTCTAATATGGAAGGGTTTTGAGATAGACGGAGAAAGGTATTAAACCTTTCTGGTTCTATTCTGGCACCTACTACAGATTCAGGGTACCAAGAAATTTAAATCAGACCATCGCTAGACCCAACTGTGGCCACTGGAACTGGCAGAGTCAAGGAAGTGAAATTAAATAATTCATGCAAAGCAGTTGGCACAATGCTCCATAAATAGGATTTATAATTGTTGTGCTTTCCTTGAAGTATTTTCTACTCTTGACATCCCTGATAATAAGGATTGCCGGATTTAGCAGATTAAAAAAAAAAGATTCTCAGTTACATTTGAATTTCAGAGAAGCAATGAATAGTTTTTAGTATATAAGTATTTCCCCAATACTGCATGTATGCAGGAACTTTACCAGTAACCCACTCTTCTTTCTCTGCTATACCTTCTCAGTCTTCTCTGGTGGCTCCTTGAATTACATGGAATTTTATGCCTCATGAGAAGCTTCCTCCTGCCTTGTAAACTTTGCATGTGGTATTCTCTTTGCCTAGAAGAGACATTCTCCTTCCATATTAGACTGTCAGTTTAATTCTCATCCTTTAAGTTTTGGAATACTCAGATGAAACCCAAGACTAGGTTCAGTTCCTTGTGCAGTTTCACAACACACTTGGCAGTGCATATCCCACTTACATTTAGAGATTGCCTGTTTGCCTTTCTAGACTAAACTCCATGAGGCAAAAATGATATTTGACCTAACCTCTACTGAGTTGCCCAAACCCAGCACATGAAATGCACTCAATAAACATTTGTAGAATATGAAAGGAGTAATAATTGTTGTTATGATATTTTAATAAGCATTAACTTTTGCTTTGCATGGCAGATTTATTCAGTGTACTTCAAAGACACTAAGAAGCACCTTCTTATGACACTCTAATAAGATATTAAAGCAGTAAGCTTCTACTGGGTAGTGATCAGTTCTAATTTCTAGTATAATGACAAACTTTTAATGAGCAAATGAAATGTCCCAGGTGTTTCTGGGTGTGCTTAAAATGCTATCTAATTTTATCCATAGCCTACTCTAGTCAGATCAATACTAGCTCAGAGAACACTAATTAATGATCCAGGATGACAGGTGATGAATTTTATATTTGGCAGGTTATAGATATTTGGAAAAAATTAATTATTAACGAAGGACATTGCTCTATATAGGCAGGACCACTCAAGAAATCAAGTAACAAAATAGCTTTTTTTTTTTTTGGATGAGTAAAGAAAGTTACTGAAAGAATAAGGAGACGGTGCATTGCCACAAGGATTTGATAGTTTCTTTTCCAATATAGGGAGTTAATTTCTACCTTGCTGATGAATATTACAATTATTAAAATCAAATCACTCTCTTATCGACTGGAAATTCTACTTAATATTTTATCATCTTTTGTTTCACTTAGCCATTAAAAAAAAATCACTGTAATAACTCATCCCACCTGAAATACTAACAGTTTTCTAAATTTGGCCATTTCTTCCATTAGAAATATTTTACTTATTTTTTGAGGCTGTAAGCAATACTGATTGATTGATTGATTGATTGATTTACAATTCAATGAGAAATATTTTTAAATGACATCTATATTAAAAACCATTGAAGGCTTATCAATGACTTAGATAAAAATTATTTATTGGTTGTGAATAGCTTCGTTATAGGTAATCTGACCCTTGTTATGCAGATTTTTATTGTTTCTACAAGTGATATTTCCTACCCTTGTTTCAAATGCTTACAGTACATCCTTTTTGTGGCTTGCAACTGCCTGTTCATAGATTACAAAGTGTATTGAATTATTCAGAGACAAGAGAAATTATTAAATAAAGATATAGTTAAGAAATTACTGTCATTCTAGAGTATATTAACATGCTTCTGTAAGAGAAATCAAGGCT